TCCATATTTCAATAGGGGGCAGGCAGTGGCATAGAGAAGGGGCCAGATGGGGCTTGCAAGTGTGGTGTAGAAGGGGATGGAGGAGGGTTGGATCAGAATCATCAGAATCAAAGTCTGACATGCTCTCAAATGCTTGTTGGGTAGAAGGTTGAGCTTTTGATTCCAGTGTCTTTTAAACCAGATTCTGGATGCTGATTGGAGTAAGAGGAGGTGTGATTAAATGATAATTGGCTGCTTCACAGACGGATGAGCCTTTGATTGCATGCGGGTAGGTAATCCAGTTTATACTGTTGAACTTCCGCCTAGGCTTCTTTTAACAGAAACATAAATTCTCTTTAAAACAACTTTTTGGCTGAATGTGTTCTTACTTCCAACATTTTATTTATTCATTGTTATTTTTTACTTTAGATAATAAAATTATTGCTATTTTTTGCCAGCAATGGACAAACTCATTGCAGCTCCAAAACTATACATAGACTTGAATATTTTCAACAATGGGAAAAAAATTACTGTATAGACTGATCACTACAGACATGAAAGGTGGTTGATAAATCAGCAATCGATTTTCTTAGTATGAACGTAATTGTATTTGTAGTTAAATTGTATCTGTTAACTTGAGTATCTGCAACAGAGCATAACTGCAAAAAATGTTGTAGCAAGGACTAGAGCCCAGAAACTAAATTACTTCAAGATCCAAAGAACAAAACCTTACTACTTGGCTATTAAGTGTAAAATACATAGATTTATTATCCAGGAAATTTGTAGTTTCCTTAGCTATAGGTGTGGTGCAATTCTCTATGTATCAAATATCAGCAATGCCATTGGTACTTTAATTCCCAACAGAACTGTTCTGGAGTTCAAGGGGTGCAAGAGAACCAATGTGTGAATGACAGTATGTTCTTATAAGAGAGAGTTAAGATGATCCATGAAAATTATTGATACTCTTCTAATCTCCTCACCTACAGGTAAAAAAAAAAAAAACATTTTTGGTCTCAACACTCAGTTTTGATAATCTGCGAGAAACTAGTACAAAAGGAACATTCTGCAGATTCTTAACCTTTCCTCAACTTTGGCACTCCCAGAGGCAGGAAAGGAGTATCTTTCACCATAGTTATTAGTTCGCAAAGACACCCTTGACCTCTGCCGTGGTAGCCAACTGTCAACATAACCCATGTTATTGTAATGCAGGTTCACTCTCTTTGACTTCTGCTGGTCTACCTGTTGGCCAGTACCCCGCATACCTAAGCTTGTATGTAAACTCTAGATTTTAATTAAACTTTGCCGAGCTTCACTGTCATGACCTCTGCTGCTTTGCCTTAAAACAACCTGTGTAACACAATTTTTATGCTAAAAGACTGCTGAAAATGATATGACTTCATAAGCCAAATACTGCAATTTTCGTTTAATAAATGTAACTTCTCACTTTCTGTAATAATGTTTCAGGAACATAGGGTGTGCTGGCTAAGATGTTTTTTTTTTTTTTTATTACATATACGTTTCTTTACATGTTAATGTATGTAGGATCTTTTTTAAGAAAAAAAGGGTTCTGCGCAGTATCTTAGCTGTTCCTAGAACTGCACTTTTCTAGAACAACATGTCTGATGTATTTTCAGGCGTCAGCTGTAAGCAGTCCAACAGTTTGGAGGTGCCCTCTATTGGCTTGGAGGCCATATATATATATATATATAT